TTGAGACTGTGGTTGATAGGGTGGGTTTCTAGTATATCTGGAAGGTTGAGGATAAAGTTGAGAAGGGTTGTTTTGTGGGTTGTGACTTTGGTTAAAAAGAGGTCTGGTAAACTACTGATTTTTACGGTTGTTTTGAAAAGCTTCTTCGTCATCAGGTTGCATCTCCGGTTTGTATGGCTGCAGTGTGTCATCATATGAGGTTTGGTATGATGACTCTCCGGTATGAGAATACTGAGGTGATCTGTTGGTGTACCGTGGTGAGTGAGCGTGTAAGGTGAGTGGTCTGCCAAGATCCATACAATCTTTCATCACCATAGACTCTTAAGCTTGAAGTTCACCGTAGAGTTTGTACAGAGAAAGAGTTTTGATTTTTTTGTCTCCTTGAACTATCATCTTCGTTATAGTGCACTGTTTTCCTAAACCATTTACGAACTACATATATGTTTCAGAATCACTTCGAGTAATACTTGCATTTGAGAATTTGGTGATTATGATGTTGAATCTTTTGAAGGAATCATCAAGACTTTCTACAGGAAGAGCTTTGAAGTTGTTGAAGTCATTCAAGGCTGTTGTTAGCTTGTTGTATTGAGCTTGTTCAGTTCCTTCATAAAGATTCGTAACAACATCCCATATTTTTTTTTACAGATTTGTAGTTATTAATAAGATCAAAGCTGTCAGGAGGAACTCCACAAGAGATTCCATATAAAGCAACTTCATCTTTCTCCATCTTATCTACGTCATCGTTGGTAGGTCTGTTCATGGCAAGTTGATCACTTCCAAGTCTGAATTGGGCTCCATCAGTGATAATGGGTGTAAGAATAGGTACATGTGGTCTTTTTTCTATAGATTTCCATACTTCCTTGGCAAGTCTTCTTAAATATATCTCCGTTCTTTGAGACCAGTGATGATATTCACTTACAATAAGTATCAGAGCTCGATTAGAACCTCCAACACTTTTATATAAATTTAACTAGTAAAGTTATTCCATTTTCCTTGATTTTTGAAAAATATGAACTAAGTAGTATAAAAGGCCTTTTAAATCAAATTTTTTCTTTAGAAAATATTATGAGTTTTCAATGAAAGTTAAAAAGCAACCACTTTGGCTCTGATACCAATTGTTGAGAGATGAACTTAGTGATAAAGAGATTATGGTGCGGAATTTAAGTTAATCTCATGGATCTTAATTAAGCTCAACAATAATAGGATATAGCGGAATTATGAAGGAAAAATAGCAACAAAATACATTGATAAATATAAAAAAGTTTAAATAGATATTTGTTGTATCATGTTGACGTATCTCATCGAAAGAAATGCCGAAGGATAACAGATCCGTCAACTCAGTAATGGACCAGAAAAAGCCCATTACTCGGCAAGAGCCGGGAGTGGATCGTAGTCCATAAACCCTCGCGTTCTAGCGACAGTAATCTGGGCATGGGATTGGTCTCCTTTTAGGATAGAAACTCCCGTTCCACATAAGATGAAGGAGTACCAGTTGCCCTAGAGTTGTAGGTGTAGTGCTCCTTGATCTGCCAACTGCCCGTTCTGCACCACTAGCAGACAGCCACCCGCGGGGCACGATCTACCAATCAAATGCCGCCTTGTTCATCCATGCCTGAAAAGGTAGAAGATACTGTCGGGGATATGTCCCCCTGACCATAGGTATAAAAGGCCCCTTCTCCCCCAAGAGAAGGGATTGACTCTGGAATCCCAATCTCTTTCTTTCCATCATAGACTTTACCTCAAAGGAACTCACTAGCTTGACCGTCAGATCCTTGTTCCGGGATCACCTCCCGGACGATGTTTGATGATCTCGTTTTCTTTGTTGTGATCCTCAGGCTTATCTTTTTTAAACCCTCAAGGAAACGGAGTTAAGCCGAAGATGTATCACAATAGTCGACACCATCCGGGCGTGCACTGACTTATGCACAACCCATCTAAAGATGTTAGGTGCCAGAATGACAGAAAAAAGGAACCACACGGCCAGACGGTGGTGACAACAGCTAGGTCAGACCAATGCATCCCCTCAACAGGAGCGGTCCGTCAACGCTGGAAGGGCAACCGCCCACTTATACACCGACAATGTCGATAGTCGGGTTTGCAGCAGAGTTCATCACCAGTTTATGGCGACCACCGCCCGTCACAACAGAACAACCGGTCACGACACCCACCACAACGCCTCAAAGAGCGCCGACCAACCAATCACAACCAACCGCAAATCAACCTTCGACACCATTGTGACCGATGGGAACCAGCACTTGGTTCCCCTATTACCATTCTAGCCATCACATAATTTCCCTCCACAGGTCATCCGTCTTCCCCGATGGCCAGCATGTCTCACATCCTGTTATTTGCACAGCAACCAACGTTCAACCCATACTCATACCACTACCAAGGCGTGTACCCCCAAACAACGCAGTCGCAAAGTGACAACGGTCAATGCACACTAGTGCATGGGATGAGCTCACACACCACGGGGCCAACGGAGTCAAGTTCACAACCGAACCAGCTGATGTATACATACTCCACGAAGGTACCATATATATACCACAACTAACCATGTACAATCATGGGTACCACTACGGGTATGGCCAAGGGTACAACAGCCCATACCACACGCAACAGGCGATGGCCGGCAGAGCATTCTCCTATTAACACATGGACAACCCGGTCACGAGCATCAGCTCGACGTTCTGCCAAGAGCTTTTACAATATGAAATACTGCATTCCGCCATGATCCCAAACATTCCAAAGTATGACGACACTATGGATCCGGATGAACACATAGACACCTACGAATGGACAATGACATCACTACGGATGGAGAAGAGGTTTACCTGCACTTACTTCTCGGTTTCGCTATCAGTAAATGCTAGCAAATGGTTCAAGGTGCTGCATTCAGGAAGTATCTCCATCTTTGAACAATTGAGGTATCTCTTCCTCAACAATTTTATGAAGTTAAGGAAAATCAAAGGAGATGCCAACTCCATTATGGCATGCAAACAAAAAGAGGGAGAGTCAATCAGAGCGTACTTTGACCGATTTACTCTTGCAACCCTGAGCGTCCCCGATCATGAGGAGTTTCTAGTCACAGGCGCTTTCGCCCAGGGGCTGCTCCCAGGCCCCCTGTCGAAAAAAATGCATGGAACAGTGCCAAAATCGAGGGAAGAACTGAAGTATAGGGTCGAAAAGTACCTCAGGAAAATCGAGAGGGAAGAGCGCAAAGAAGCAAACCTAAAAGTCGTAGCAAATGCATATCTTAAACAAGAATCAACTGACTCCCACTCCCAACATAGTCACAAGGAGCGTCACGATGGAAGTCATGATAAGCATAGCAGACATTCGAGACATTCGTTTCGCAGGTTTTTACCATTTGTCAAAGACGAGCCTAGGAGTCAGAGGCCGAAAATCCATACCGTGGAAAGCTCCTCAGCGGGCGGAAAAAGAAAAATAGAAGTATTGCTAATACTACAAGAGAAAAACCCATGACACTGGGGAGTGCACGATCCTCAAAAGGGAAGTAGCAGTCAAGCAGTTGAATGGTGAACTCGCGGAGATCGCGGAGACCCTACGATCAAAATTCGAAGCCGAACAAAAAGACAGACGAACCCGTAAGGAAGCGAATAAACAATCAGTAAAGAAGGAAGAGATCTTCAGAATCGTGAAGCCCCATAATGGAGTCAAGCACCGATCCGCAAACTATAGCATCAACGCTCTACCCGACGATACTCTAAGAATAAGTTTCTTACCAGGAGACCCGCGAATGCCCGACTGGGACCCAACAGACCCGTTCATAATCTCCGCCTACATCCAACAATACTATATCTAGCGAGTCTTAGTTGACGTGGCAGCAGCATCAACGTCATCTATGAGCACTGCTATGAACAATTCCCGCCACCCTTGAAAGAGAATCTAAAACCACCGACTTGATCTCCACTCGTTGGCTTCACGGGGAACAAGCTGTGGCCGCTTGGAACCCGTAAACCTCCCATTGACAATACTTAGCCATGATGGGAAAGAAAAGATAACAAGGATAATTGAATTCTAAGTGGTAAAACACGGGTCCGATGACGATATGATCCTCGGGTCGCCATCCCTCTTCCGGCTCCAAGCCATCCTGTCGAAAATACATGGTATAGTAAAATTCAAGACCAGCAACGACTCGACAATAATGACCGCCCTTAACCCGCGGTCAAAGAAACAATGGGCGATCACCGCATGGGCCACCGTGCGCATTCCAAAATGGCAGCGTACAACAATATATACCACCCAGATCCAGCACAGGAGGAACAACTTCCACCCACACATAAACAACCTGGGGGGAGAAGGGCGTGATAGCAACAACATTAACACGCCAGAAAGAACAAGGATAGTCAGCATGCACACCGTGCGAGGCTGGATACCGCTAAGCCTGCCAATGCTCCGCCACATGACGAAAGAACACAACACAAAAAAGAGGAAACAACATGGGATAAACGCGAAATCTCGCAGCTCAACCAAAAACACAACGTGGAAACCACTAAATTCGGTACAGTGAGGACAAATAAATACCCCAGAAAGGAGGATGACGATAGGAGACCCACCGCATACTATAGGGTCCACAACGGGCAAAGGCTTTTTTCACTACGATATATCGTCAAGAACCCTGCAAACAACAGAGGGAGCACTGAACGACAAAGGAGCCAAAAGGTCATAATAACGCAGACACGCACTCCGAACAAGATGAACTTATCCCCGGAGGATGACCAGGTGACCAGAACCAGGGAATGGAGAAAACTGAAGATCGTCCACCAAAAGACAACCAAACGAAAAATAGTGAATCATGGCTTGCACGCGAGCGCGAACATTGAAGAACCCATGGACACAAACCGCTGAAGGACACAAATCAATAAAGACCAAGAAGAAGAATTCACTCCAATAGCCTGGGAGCACCAGAGCCCGAACCAACAGGCTTAAAACGGGGGAGGGGAAACAGTCAGGGAAAGGGCCAAGTGATCAAACTCCTAACTATTAATCACACCCCAATGAGCTAGCCCAGGAGCTAGGCCTAGAATAGCACCAACTATCCCACTCCCAATACCTATCTAATGATATAGATGTATCTAAGACACTAAAACATATGCAATGAAAAGTATCTTTTTGAAACACACTCGTAGTAACATACATTCATGCAAATGGAAAACAAAGACGGACTGATCATACGTGCCTTTTACATGAAATCGTCGTGAAAAACACAACCTTAGGCCTCAGAGGCTCACAACCTTTCCCTAATAAAATACTGCTCTGGCTAAGGATGATGAGAATTAGGATGTGGAAAAAATAGAGGCTATGAAGGGTCATAGACTTCGACTCGCAGCAAAATAATATCTAAGCGTCAAAGCCTAGGGATGACGATCCTGGCACAGCCTAGATAATCAAACTTGGAGACAGAGGTTTTAGGGGCCCAAAGCTCTGAATAAAAGTCTAAAAGAAAAACGAGTGAAAGGGAATTAAGGGGCAGGAACCAAAACGGATAATCCTTGTTTAACAAAAAAATTGCCTACCGATCCCTCACTTGATACAAACTTAAACAGGAACAACAACATCGAATAGTATTACTGGGACTGCCCAGGGTCCAGGAAAGAACTCAGCCCCGGGGCGGCCAACATAAACCCCCCCAAGAATCAAACAAAGCAAATCACAAGCGAATCACAAACAAAGCACATAACCATGTATTTTCAGATAATAAAATGAAGTGTCTACCGGACAGCTCCCGGGTTTAGCGAAAGACCACGCAGGGACATCCAAAAAGCAAATAACGAGCAGTATCAAAGTTGTTCATTAACATAAAAACCATCCACAAGAAAATATTGCTTGGATATATCCGACCAAAGGAAATTTTCACAAAACAAAGGAAGATATCATATATCACATACCTGGGGCAGGGGCAGAAGATTCGGCCCCGAAAGTACTTCCTTCAGGGCAATCCCCTTCAACATCAGGGCTATTGCACAAGAGGCGAAGACCATCCATGTCAAGCTCACCAAGGTGGAGGTAGGAGGCGAAATCAGTATCCAAGAAAGACTTCAATTCAACATGCATGGCTTGGGTATATTCTAGAAGGGCGCTTGGCTCGCCAGGTATAAACTTCCCGATAGCAACCTGCTCCCGAATTACCTTCTTACCACTCTCTACCCCGGTTGCAATACATGCAGCCTTCATTCGCTTAATCCTAAGTGTGAACTCGAAGCTCTTAATCAGTTTATCCACAATACGAACAATCCCTCTCTTCAGAAGCCAAGACAAATCCATCTCCACGCTCTCCTTCTTCACCTTTTCCATTTCCAACTGCACACGACACTCCCCAATGCAGCCCTCCAATGCCCCTTTTTCCTCAACCAACGTCTCCACACGCTAAGACAAGCGCTCCACAGATCGATCCACCTTTGCAACATGCTCCTACAAAGAGGCCTTCTACCCGGCCAAAAGATCATAACGGCCATCAAACACACATTTCTCACCCTACAACACTAGTTTCTCTCCCTTAACTCATCCCGCTCAACCCTAATCAAGGCAACTTCACCAGAACTCGAGCTGTCCTGACGCAGGCGAAGGGCAGTCGCCACCATGTATGAGCCAACCCGAGCAGCTGCATATGAAAGACTGTTTGACATATGATAGTTATAAAGAAGGTCCAAAGCCTCGACGATCGAAGGGGGAAAAGAGTGGCAACCCCAGTCATAATCCACTGCGTGCTTCATGAGGCGAGACTCCCGGGTGATCCCCTATTCTGGCACATATATGGTCGGCACCGTCGGAGGAACAGAAGCAGAATCCCCAATAACACCCCCTAGTCAAAAGCGGGACTGGTGGGTCTGGATCATCTTCATGAGCAACACCCAAGTCATCACCGAAAACGCTTTCACCAAAAGCAATAGGTTCCTCTGGCTCTTCTTTGGGTTCATCATTTTCGTCGCCCCTTCTTTCACCCCTCCAACTGTTTCAGAGTGTCATCATCGGGGATGTTCACTACTACGGTGGACTCCCCCAAAAGGAAGTCCACATTCCACATCTTGAGGAGGCGTCAGCCTGAGGATCTAGTCCTGGTAGACTCTGTTTGCGGTGAATCCAACTAGGAAATCCGTTGCTTGGGGGCCACGCAGGTATCCTGCCTTGCCATCCTGGTCAAGGCTTCCTCCTCCGTGTCAGAAGGCAAAGGATCGTCATGAGAAACACCGCCGACAAGAGCGTCAAACAGTGCCAGATTAGCTTGAGAGTCAGACATCGGATCCAGAGTAGTGATCGTCCCCGGTGAGAGCGAATGCACGGTCAACAATAACTGGTGGCAGAAGCGCTTCCACCAACGACACCTACCGATGAAGACAGACACCCTGGAAACGACCTCTCAAAACCATCTCGAAGGGAATGACCCTATCAAGGCCTAACAAAAAAAATAAGAAGATCAAGAACACAAAAAGAGGGGGGGGCATGCCACACTACGAAATATAAACACAATCGAAGGAAAGAAAAACAATGAGGGGTAATAGGGAAACTGTAACGCCCGCAGATTCGGGCTAGTCAATTTAGAGACAATAAGCGTCAAAAATGAGTTTTTTATGGAATATTATTTAGAAGGAGTAATCATAACCAAGTTATAGTATATGTCACAAGGGTTCCGTACATATAAAGAACGCCGAAATCCGAGTTATAACGAAGAAGTTATGACCCGTTGAAGTTTTACAGCAAAATCGGCACGACACTATGTGACGTAAAAAGTGAGTTTACGATAAAGTGCTTTTTAGCCTTAGCAATCTAAACAAAAGTCGTAGCATTCGTTAAACTGAGAGCATGCATAAAAAGAACGCCCAAATCTGACTCTGTATGAGGAAGTTATGATTTTTCTAAGATTTGGCCTAGCAGTGCACAACCCGGAATTCGAATTTTAGATCAAGCGGTTTTTGGCCAACGTGACCTAAATGAGAATTGAAGATCTCCTTAATAGGATCTCAACGATAAAAAGATAGATGAAAACGGAGTTTGTATGTAGAAGTTATGAATTTTACGCAGTCATTTAACAGTATAATCTTCTCATACTGTTAAATTTAAGATTGGTCGAGAATTAGCCCACGGAGTCAAAAGGAGAGTTGTAGATCTTGTCAATACCTATGTGTGGATATAAATAACGTCAAAAATGAAGCTTGTATGCGAAAGTTACGGATTTTAGAAGTCGGAAGTGTGCTGTGCGAAAATGGGTGACGTGGCACAATCTTGGCCATTACTTTCTTCCCAAGGCTTGCCACCAGATGGTGATATGTGGCACCAAGTTCAGCCATATTTCACCCTATAAATACAACCCTTTCTACCCTCATTTCTTCACACCTCCACCCTTCTCTCTCTACTCTCTCTCTAAACCTCCTAAAACTCCCCTAGCGCTAGAAGAAAGCCCCGGAGCGCTCGACGGCTCCGAGAAGAAGAGCTTTCGGCTCGGAAGTTCTGCCCCTGCAGAGCCTGGCTTCTAGCCAAACCCCCTCATAGGTAAGATACGCCTACCCTATTTTAAATACAACTTTTATTTAATTATAGTAATGTTATTAGGACCTTATAATAAATATTTGGGCTATTATTATGAGTTATATAAGTGTCGTTATAATATCTTTTTAACCACTCGCGGTACGGGAAATCTGGTTTGAAGAGCCGCTTGGGTTGTTGGATTTCAGAAGTGCTATATGCCAAAATGGTCCTACCCTCCGGTGTCTCATGTCTGGCCCCTGTCTGTACATAGTGGGTGAAAAGTATTGTTTTAACGCTTATATCATAATAATAATAATACTAAGACTATTAATTAGTCTCGGTGAATATTAGACTAAACTCTAGTGGTAATAATACTAGGTTTCGTCAAAGGAAATTGTTTTTTTTAAGAAGCGAAACGCTGTCTAAGTTCGGAATCACCACCTTATCAGGTGAGTGCATAGTCCCTTTCATGAACATAATTTTAATACAAGTATTGATTGAAGTATTGAATATATGTTTATGTGCGAGTTATTTGATGTTGCCTGAAATATGTGTTAAAGAACATACCTGATTATATATAATGATTTAGGATAAAGAGTAAACCTAAATTAATTATGAGGAATATTGGTTAGTATCTTCTTATGAGTACGAGTGAGTTATACACAGAGAATAGAACTTTAAAATATGTCATTGATCCGGGAGCATGGATTAGACATAGCCATTGTCCCTAATCCGAGAGTATGGATTAGATATAGTCAATTGTCATTAATCCATGAGTATGGATTAAGACATAGTCAGTTGTCCTTAGTCCGGGAGTATGGATAGGACATAGTTATTTGTCATTAATCCGGGAGTATGGATTTAGACATAGACATTTGTCCCTAGTCCGAGAGTATGGAATGGGCACAGTTAATGATCCGAGAGCATGGATTAGATCCAAGAGTATGGATTAAGTAAGAGGTAAAATTTAAGGTCCGAGGGTATGGATAGTCTCGTTGTGAGGATTAACGGGGTGGGGAAAAAGTTGCTTATATATATGGTGAAATTGTATATTTTATGAGTTTTAAATTATATATATGATATAACATTGTGGGATTGAAATCCCTATGTACTCACCAGGTTTCCCAACCTAACCCACTCAAGCTTATTTGTATCACAGGTGTCGATATGAAGCTACTTTACACTGAGAGATTTAAAAGAGATGTAGATCACTAGTGTAAATGAATGTAAGTTCTGTTTATGCTTATGTTTCTGTATTGACGATGACATCCCAATGTTTTGAAAATGAATAAAAATACATTTCTTTAGAAATGATTTGATAACGTATTTATCATGTTTTTCTGGGAACAAATTCCGCAACATATTTCTTTAAAAGATACTCCGATTTTCAAAATAAAGCATAAACAAATCAGTCTTTTCTGGCCGTGAAAATGGGGATGTCACAGAAACACTTACCATCCTTCACAATGAAAAATTGGGGCGTCATTCCTCGAGACCTCCAAGCTGCACTCATACCCACAGCGGCCAACATATGGTCCTCCCAGTCATCCCCAGTAAAATAGATGCTCTTCAAAGTGTTGGCAACCTGCTCACTAGCCCCCCAAAGAGTAGGAATCTGATCAAAAAAGTTGGTTCTACGGGGATAACCATAACCGACCAAATTCTGATTCACCCAGAGCCACATGTCCTACCAATTCTTCCTTAGCGCTTTCTGGTTCACAATGAAATCATGAACACCTCCGCATTGAGAAAACGTGTGAATACTACATTGAGTCGGTGAATTGAAGAAGTACTTGAAAGCCCTAGTTGGGGAAGCACACCCAGAGCCCGTCATGCCATCTCGAAGCCAACTATCTTGTTGACAACGTTGGGGGTAAGGTCGTCGACAGTTAAGCCATAGTGATGCATGATCTCATCAAAAAAGTCAGTCTTATGCATCTAGAGCCCTACCTCGAAGATGCGGATATGAATTCCGACCTTACCTTCTGGTGGTCGGGAGATGACGACTCCCTTGCATGGAAATTCAACTCCTTGATCTGGGAGGAAACAAAATCGTTCCTGCATCCCAGAAACCTCCTTAGAAGATGGAGCAAGGCCTATTGTCAGAGGTGTCATGCCTTGGTAACAAAGGAGAAACGAAAACGAAGAAGAAGAAATGTGGAAGGAACGAAAAGGAAGAAGCAATGCTAGAGGAAAGAAGAAGCAAAGGAAAAAGAAAAAAAGATCGGATGAGGAAGGTTTTAAATGCAGGCGGGAAACCCGAATAGATAATATGATGAAACCGCCAACCAAGACACTTCCGTCACGTCAACAGGTAGCGGAAACCACCATCGATGAACACGTGTTCAGGCCTAAGGCTAGAATGATCTCGCTAGCCCTAGAAAATGTTGACGTCCACTAGCCTAGGGGACTTGTTGACGTATCTCACTGGAAGAAACATCAAATGATAATGGAGTCGTCAACTCAGTAAGGGCCCAACAAAATCCCATTACTCGGCAAGAGTCGGGGGCGGGCTATAGTCCATAAACCTCCACGTTCTAGCAACGGTAATCTGGCCACGGGATTGGTCTCCTTTTAGGATAGAAACTCCCATTCGAGATAAGACAAAGGAGTACCAGTTGCCCCAGAGTTGCAGGTGTAGTGCTCCTTGATATGCCAACTGCCCGTTCTGCACCAATAGCAGACAGACACCCGCGGGACACGATCTGCCA